GGCATGCGTGAGACCCGGGTTCGATCCTCAGCACCACATACAAACAAAAATGTTGTGTCCGCCAAGAACTAAAAAATAAATATTAAAAAATTCTCTCTCTCTCTCTCTCTCTCTCCTCTCTCACTCTATCTTTAAAAAATAAATAAACAAAATTCTCTCTCTCATCTCTCTTAAAAAATAAATAAATAAATAAAACTACCATATAGCAATCCCACTTCTGAATATACCTTCAAAGAAACAATCTAAATATCTGTCAACAGGTGAATGAAATAGCATTCAGTTTTTAAAAATAAGGAAATCCTGATATTTGCAATAACATGGATGAATCTGGAGGACATGCTAAGGAAAAACTAAATAAGCTACAGAAAGACAAATCCTACTTGATTACTTATATATGGGACTCTAAAATAGTCAAAACTCATAGAAACAGTAGAATGGTGGTTACCAGAAGCTGAAGGGAAAGGGAAATTTTGTGAGGCTATAACAGAATACCTGAGTTTGGATAATTCATAAAGAACAGATTTATTATAGTTCTGAAATCTGGGAAGTCTAAGATTAAGGGGCTCACATGTGACAAGGGCTTCCCTGCTTCATCATTTCATGGATGGAAAGTAAAAGGGCAAGACAGCACTAGAGAGCAAGAGGGGCCTTCTATAACAAGCCCATTCCCAGGATAACAACATTTATTAGGCCAAGTCCTCATGACCTAATCACATCTTAAAGGTCCATTTCTCAATGTTGTTGCACTGGGGATCAAGTTTCCAACACATGAGCTTTGAGGGCACATTCAAACTACAGCAAGAACGATGTTGGTCAAGAAGTGCAAAGTTTCAGTTGTACAAGGTAAGTTCTAGAGATCTAACACACAGCAAAGTAACTATCATTAACAATATTGTATCATATATTTGGAATTTACTAAGCTTGTAGACTTTAAGTGTTCTCACCACAAAAAGAAAAAGGTGATAAATATGCTAATTAGCTTAATTGTGGTGACTATTTCACAAAGTATACGTATATCAAATCATTAAGTTGTACATCTTAACTATATACAATTTTTATTGTCAATTATATKTCAATAAAGCTGGAAAAAAGAATTACCTATCACATTTATTTTTATACTGAACAAAGGTAATTAATTGAATATATGCTATTTCAAATACTATTCTAAAAAAGAAAAGTCATAGCCTCATGTTTTAGATCTCACTAGGACAGATCATCTCATTAAAGAGAATGTACTTAATAAACCTACATGCAAACTATCATGAAAATCATTTCATTAATACAATAAACTCTTTAACTTAGGACATCAAGAACGATCTGGAGGCCTCCTCTCTTTTGGAGTTTAATTCTGATACTGCTATTACTTCCTTTCATGAACCTACTTTTACAGTTCCATTTCTTCAAATTTAAGGCAATGAATCTATTTTTAAAAATTGCTTTGATTTATCCAAGCAGCTGCTGGTGATTTAAAACACGATCATGATTAAATTCAGCAGACCCATGACACAGACACACAATGCAGCAAAACCACTTGTAAAAAACCATAGTATAATATAACCCTGGTATGCAGCCACAAGGAAGGAGGAGAAATTTTGTTAGAGGTCAATGAAGTAAAAAAAAATAAAACCAAAAACAGGGCTACCACATTATTGGTTAAAGCCAAACACATAAGCTGCATACCTGAAATGCTTTGTGTAAAATTAAGGTGAAAGTAAATGATATTTTCCTATTCTCACAGTTACCAGGGCGAGGGAGTTTTAAACTTCATAGAGTAGAGTGGATACCAAGTTAAGATCTGGGTTCAAATTCTGACTCTACCATTTTCTTGTTCAGATGACTTTGGAAAAATAATAAACTTGATAAGCTTCAATTTTCTCAGCTGAAACTTGGGTTCACAATAATAAATTACCAATGATAATACAGGTTCACAAAATAACAATATCTACTTTATGGGATCACTGGAAGTTTAAATAAAATAATGCTTATAAAACATACAATAAATGATCTATAACTATAAACTATCCTTTCCTGAAAATGATCACCAACTTCATGAGGCTTGTACATTTAAAAATATCCTCTCTGCCAGAATTATTCAAAGTGTTTCAGAAAATTAAGTATTTATGTAAAATTTGCAGGAAGAAAATAAAATTACTTGAGGAATTTTATGAGTGAGGCTGTCATTTTTTAACTTTGTTGTTCTCTTATTATTTATCTGAAAAAAATTATAGTTCTTTATTTCAGAATTGATCATTAATTTTATTTAACATTACATGCTAATTATTGTCCTAAACATTACAGTATTTTATTTAATTCCATGAGATGGATATCCTCATTTTACACACAATGAAAGTTTAGAGAAGGTAAATATCTAAGGTTATAAAGCAAGGAGGTATCAGAAGTAGAACTCAAACTTGGATCACACAGACTTACGTGTCTTTTCCCTATTTTCCCATAATTCACTCTCCCCAGGTAAAAAAAAAAAATTTATTACATATGTCTTACCTGACCTGAAGAAGAACAAAGTTTGTAAAAGGAGAGAAATATTATACAATTCTAACCTCCCATAACTTTAAACCTTACACTTAAATTTTAATATTTGCTTATTTTATCCGCCCTTGTACACATTCTAAGCCACAAACCAGTATATTTTTTGTTAACATTTGCTTTACATTTATGTCACTATAACATTGTTGACAGACTTGTTGCTTTGCTGTGTAAAGATTTTATTCATTAAGTTCGAAAATATTATTATTACTCAAAGTATTACACAAAGTACTAACATAATCCAACTCTAGTAAAACCTCCTGGAGTTGTCAGATGTTTTCTTACTGTCACTGTTATATGTAAAAATGGGATCCCCCCCCACAGCCCAGGTAACACAGTCTTAGATTTGCTTTTCTGATCCACAGAGGAAAAACATACATGCACATAAGCTTTTTAAAATTTGGAGAAAGGAGATTTGAAGAAATACATTCTGATCCATTCATCTTTCCTCGTGAAAAAGGATTAAGGCTGGGGGCTCAGTGGCAGAGCACTTGCCTCGCACGAACAAGACACTGGGTTTGATCCTCAGTATCACATAAAAATAAACACATAAAATAAAGGCATGCTGTCCATCTACAACTACAAAAAAAAGGATTAAAAACCAAATACAAAAATAAATCAGATCTGAGTATGGGCAGGAAAGGAAAGACAAAGAACAGGATGCAACCATTCCAGTGTTGCTCTAATGAGGAGTTTCTGGGTTAGTATTCATCAGTGGGAAACATTATCCATAATTTTTTTATTCCGTTTAAGCCATGAATATCAGAGTTTTAATCTGTTGGCACTGTTTCTTTAAATGAATCATGGTGCTCTAGCAATTCAGAACATGTATTCTTTTTTATTTTTTTTGAAGAAAGAGAGAGAGAATTTTTAATATTTATTTTTTAGTTTTGGGCGGACACAACATCTTTGTATGTGGTGCTGAGGATTGAACCCGGGCCGCACACATGCCAGGCGAGCGTGCTACTGCTAGAGCCACATCCCCAGCCCAGAACATGTATTCTTATATTTAGATTTATCGTCAGCTTTTACTTTTAAACTAGAAATCAATTTCAGAATTAACAACTTCTAAGGGGAAAAAAGTTATTTTATTATACACACATACAGAAATTGTTTCAAGTTCTGAAAGATCACAATGCCATTATTTTTTTTTCCAGTATTCACTTTGGAACTTCCAAGGTAACAATTCTCTAACCCCTGAGACAGTTTTTGCCTTTTGAGGGATCAAAATCCCCATTATTCAAAACACCTGATGATTACATTGGAAAAAAAAAATCTACACTTGTCCTTAAAAAATAATCTTCATCTAGTGGTTTCACAAAATTATCTTTAACTCAGTGGAAAAAATCCTGAAAAAAATAAATTAACCACTTTTCACAGTCCCTTTGAATGTTTTTAGAACACTTCCAGAGATCAGTGAAACAGATCATCATAGCTACTGACCAAAGGAAAATTTATTTTCTATGATGCAACACTCTGGCCACAATACCACTTCACAATAAAGCCCACAGAAAGTCAAAAGGCGTAAACTAAGATTCTGGTCTAACCTAACATACAAGTCAGGGTATCTCAGGCCTCAATTTCCTCACTTGTAAAATTAAGGGAGTTATTCATTCAACCTTGGTTGAATTCCTACCATATGCCAAATCCTGTGTTAGTAACAGAAATTTGTTACTTGGCTTTTGTTTTATGTAAATAAAACCATGATCATTGCCTTTGCAAAGCTCCTTAATCATGTGAAGAGGAAAATAAATGCAACATGATAACTACTCTGAACAAACTTTTATGCTATGCAGACTAAAAGGACTGCAGAGGAAAGCAGTCAGTTGAGCAGAGACTTGAAGAATAAATATGAATTGCTGAGTTAGAGATGGGTTTTATGGATATTCCTTAAAGAACGAACATACTGTGTCCAGATAAGAAAACAAAGAGTAAGAAAGAGATTTATATAGATCATGCATAGACTGGTTTTCAGAGAAAACTGGTGGGAGATAAGCGCTTTATATAACACATTAAAAAATTTGATAGCAAAAGTCCTTCTACTCTAAGGACCTGGAAATTGTCAGTGGGCCCAACAAGATGAATTCAATTCTCCACCATTTCATTTGAAGTAGTGAGTCTCTTTAAGCAACAACAAACAAAAAAATCTATCCAAGTTTCTAAATGTTGATGCTAATATTATGCAACCTAAAGWAACCTCTTATAACTGACAAATTTTAGGACACCTGTTATTACTACCATTTTAGTAAAGTATTCCAAAAGCAAAATATATAACAAGGGATTTGTTTGTGCTTTTTACCAAATACAAACTTTAAAACAATAAGGTGTAAAAATTATAAGCAAATATTAAATTTATATTCCTCTAAAAATGCTATCTCATACTTTGTTCAAGTAAAGCTTCACTATGAATATCAATTATCTAAAAGTTCCTTAAGAGATATGAAGTCTAAATTTACCTGTGTTCTGCAGGAACAGGAGGTGGCCAAACAGCAGGATCTCTAAATGGTTCATCTTGACAAGACACAGGGAAATCTGGGGGCTTGTCAATTTTAAAACTTTCTAAAGTGCTGACAATACTTTTAACTTGTTCATATTCTTCCAACAATTCCTGCCGGACCTTAAAATAAAATTWAAAAAAAAAAAAAGAAAGAAAGCCTTTATGCTAGAAAACTATCTAAAGTTTATATAGATTGTAAATAATTAATTGCAAGTTTTTAAAATGTCATTCAAGGTATGCAAAAATGAATCACTAGAAAATATCACAACAACCACTTTAAACAAAAACAAAACTATTCAGAGTAATATACAGAGAAAGGCAGAGATTGATTTGAAAAAAATACCTTTTCATAAGGGAAGTAATTATTTATTTACCATAATGAAACTTTCTTTGTACTAGACTATGATGATCATTAATACAATTTAAAACAAGCAATGTAAATTAGTCACAAGTTAACCATTCCCCAAAATGTTATGCTAATCCTTTTAGTATATTTGTAAATAGAATCCAAAAACTTGTCAGSCAAAATTTTCAGAATTTCCTGAGCCCAATATCAGTATGATATGCCTGCCATGAGTTTCTGAAAGTGTGAAGCACTGTAATATTATAAATTACTCAAATCTGATTCTTTCAGCCTAAATTCTTTCGTTTATTTTAACTCAAGATTCCTCCTACATTTAAAAAACGTAACTGAGCACCTATTGTGGAAATCATTGTTTTCAAATTCTGAACCCACATTGATTTTCAAAATAAACAGTTAAAGATTAAAAATTATTATAAATTCATCTTAACAATTCTACTGTTTTTAACTAGAAAGCACATGTTACTGTAAAGCATAACATAAGACATTTTCCTTTGTCTTTAGTTTGAACAACATAATGAAAAGAATATAAAAAGAAGTTACAGAACCAAAGAAAAATCTAATCTAGGTGAAATTCAACTGCTAACATATGCAATTACATAATATGCTATGCTAAGAGAAATGAACCTTCAGAACCTAATGGAAAGAAACAACAGAAATATCTGAACAGAAATGGCCACTAAAACACACAAACCATTCTGCCTGGGGTAGTACAAAGAACAGAACTAAAATTTTCAGCCAAAGTTAAAGCAACCATGGTGTTCTCATTCAACATAATCCGATAACACTTAAGTTTACCCTCGAAATTTCCCCTCAAAATTTAGCAGAACATTAATTTTTGACTAGTGGAAAAAAAAATCATCAGACATACTTGAAAGGCATTAGCACATGAAATGGAAACTTCAAAGAAAGCTTGACTTTGTACTTTTAATTTTAAAAGGATTTTAAGTCTTAACAATAATTGGAAAACTTATAATTCAAGTTTTTATTATATAATCAAGTTGTATAGTCAAGAGACTGCAAATATATTAATGTTTTTATTAGATTACTGATTCATTTGTATTTTTAAGAAGCCTTTCAAGAAAAAAAAAGTTTAACAAACTATGTCAAAACTACTTGTAAAAATGAAAACAGAAAGGGCAAGTAGAAATACGTTACTTCAAAAATGTGTAGTAAGGCAACACTCATGAAAATTGAAAAAGTTAAAAATAGATTAAATTAAAGTTAAATATCTTCAAAATATACCTCATAAAATACATCATCAAAAACAGATAAACTATTAACTAGATAAGACATCAGAAAGAGTACATTGAAATGTATTCAGACAAATAAGAACTACTTACAAAATCTCAAACTAATTTTCCAACTCTCATCTCTCAAATATAATAAACCACTGCACCCTAATTCATCAAATGCCTTAACGGGATCTTACCTGATGCCATTTGCCTTTGATGGCTGGGTCTCTGACTGACTGGCAATGTCTCTGAATCTGTTGTATCACCCCCTGGTAATACACCATTGATGAGTCGTAATTTCCAAGAAGTGCATATTCTCTTCCTTTCTTTGCATTGTCACAAATCTCAGCCAAATTCATCTTATTTCAGAGACCTAAACGTAAAATGTGATGACTTTTTAAATGTTTTTAGCACTGACTTTAAAACGTTTTTTAAGGAAATGGGAAGACACTGGGAAGTAATATTGACCAAAGTATATTTGTACATGTGAATATATAACAAGAAACCCCAATACTATATGTTATTATAATGTTCCAATAAAAATTTTCAAAAGAATTTTTTTATTTTATCATTCTTTAAAATATCTGCTTGAAACTACTTTGAAAGTCAAAATAGTTATCTTTCATTCTTTGAGGTTACCTGAAATCATCTTATAATACTGAACAAAATTCCCAATTTSGGAAGTACAAAGGAGATAACAAAGAACACCCAAGGAAACAGGAGGGAAAGAACTTACACAGCTCTACACTATCGAATTATCTGAAGGCACATGAACTGGACACTAGTTTTYCTTGCTCGTTTATAATCATCATAAACTACAATAATAGTAAAAATGACTTTGCTTTGCTTTATTCAATTTGTTCTTTACAACATAGAAATAAACATATGAATGTCACATATATATGAATATGTTACAGTTTCCACTGATGTCAGTTAAAACTACAGAAAATTGGTTTCCACTAAGACTTTTTGGATTCAAGAGGCAGCAAGTCATACATACAGAACACATCTGAAAAACAGTCTATGCTATCATGCATTTAATTAGCCCATACAACTTAAATCTAAACAAAAAACAATGAATTAAACTGTGAACCCTTTCTGCATCTCAACTTGTAATCTCTTACAATCTTGTATTTCTCTATAGCTTTTGGCGGTCCAAAAAACCATCATCATTAATCTTTCTTTTCTATAAGATAGTAGGAAGAATACCTTCTAAACCTCTGGTTTCCACCAAAGCCCGTGAGTCCAGTAATTCTGGCTTTTCTCCAGGCTTTCCAAAAGACTCCTAGAATCATCTATGGTTTCTATGAAAAAATACTTTCTTCCCCAATACCACAAGAATAGAAGTCCAAAGACACAGAAGATGATATCCTGGGCAAGAATCCAAATTGCACTTCTCTTATTTCCTGGAACAGTAAACCAATGAGTCTACCCAGTAGAGAACATCAAAATATTTCTCTATGGCTGACTTTGGTTTGGGTAACTTGACTTCTCCCGACTCTGAATATTTTATGTATTCTTAAAGGACTCAAAAATTCTTCTGCAAAATTAAACATAACAAGTTCTAAGTGTTTCAACTGGCCAGTACATTCTTAAAAGCAGTTACTTGCTTTCTGTATTTTAAAATACTATTTGTCCCTTATTCAAGTATAAGTTCCTTGAAGGCAGCATTATTTTACTTGGGAATTATACTTGAGTAAAYAACACACTACTTTTATGCAGTAATAAATTTCAATGTTCCAGTGGATTTAGCCACAGAACACAAGAAATCATGGAAAACCTCTTGTCCAACTTTAGAACATTAACACAAAACACTAAGGTTTCATTATAGTGACTAAGCTGCAATTAATCAGTTCAGTGGAAACAAAGCAGCACCATATATTATTTTCTTCTAAAGTCACTGGGAGACAAAATTAATTAGCATTATTTCTGCTAATAAGTGCAAGTATACAACCATATAGGATTAAAAAAAAATCTTGATGTAAAGAAAGGGTCAGCAAACATTTTCTATAAAGGTCTAGACTGTAAATATTCAAGGTTTTGAGGACTCACAAGCAAAACAGAAGACATTATGTAAGTACTTAAATAAGAAGACAAAAATTGCCATATTTTCAAGGATGAAATTTGAAATATTATAATACTAATAACAAAGCACAACTTTATGTAGGACAGGTCTCCTAATAAGAAGCACAGAACTCTTTCTAGGGTTAATAATTCACTTAGAATTCAAAGTTAGTGTTTCCTAGCATTAAAATCACTCACAAATGCTCCTGTGTTATTAGTGCTGATCTTTAATAAGATTTTACATATTTCATCTTGGAAAATATCTTTTTTCAAAAAGTACCACTTATGCACTGCCACATATTGATATCAAATCACAAGCATATGATTTCCATTCAGCATGTTCATTGTTTGGAAGGCATTTAAAGAATTTATTCTTCTCTTGGTATTTACCTTTTAGCATATCAGTACACTGCAAATTAAGCATTTCCAATAAAGGTTAAGCAGAAAAGTACCTCTACTGCACACCCAAATGGATTTTGTAATAAGGAAATTTCCTTGCAATTCCATCAGAGTCTGAAAAATTCAGCTAAAACTAGCTTGAGCTCTGGTAAACATATCTACAATAACACTGGGTGGGAATGGAGACCTCGCTTCTTAGTTTTAAATTTTGACAGCATGGAAAGATACACAAAACAGCTTGATATTACTTGTAATTCAAACATTAGTTAGCATTGAAATAACTTTACCATGGTATTAACTTCAATAAGCCTGTTCTGTCTTGTAATTTTAGGTTGAATTCATTAAGAAACATATCAAGTCCACAGCAAACACTGATTTCTAAAGCCATTCAGTGTTCCATAATAGTAATTGACAGCAGTTCCTCTCATTCAGAAAAAAAATTTAATCTCAGCCCTAAGCTTAAAAGTTCACAATAAACCTTATTGTTAAGCCACCAAAATGCTGGAGGTAAGTGAGAATACTCCCTTTCTAACAAAAACTCATGGAACTGACAATTAAGACAGAACACAAGAATAAATGCTAAAACTGGTTGTTTATCACACAACAGACTCAAATATTCTCTATACAATACCTAAGAAATACACAAAAAATAACCATAAACTTTAAATATCTTACATTTCGGCAGTTTACAAAATTTTCCACCTGAGCTTATTTCTGTTCTACCCAAATTTTTACCACCATCAGTTCTAACATATCTTAGCAGATTCCACTTGAGGTAAAATGGAATTAGTGTTTTAACCTTTTGAAAATATTAGTGTCTGTAAGACATTTTTCCACACACACATCCATTAAGACTAATTCTTCAATAACTTCAAACTCAGCATTGACTTCTTAAATAAACAACAACTGAGCAGTACTGGTAACATCTACCAACTCATCAAGAGCCAAGGAAAACCACTCAAAATCATTTGCCTTGTTTTTTAATTGATTAATGATGTCCCCAACTCTTCGAGCAACTGTTCATGCCAAAAGGCTAATAGTTTTAAACAAGTTTATTTTCTCCAGACACAATTCTGTGCCTGCTGCAATCCAATATAATCTAGTTAATCCATCATTGGTAAACAACTTCCTTACTTGATTAACAAATGAGCCACTTGGAAATTCACTCTGGGTGCTGCCACCTCATTTTCATTTTTAAATTTTGTGATGAAATTCTACTGGAATAAGATATTCCTTTTTAAGTTTCTACATTTCCTAACCAATACTTTTTCTCATGAGTTGAGATTACTATGACGAGTGCTTCATCTAGTAATATCAGTCTATGCTGTATTTCTTTAGCGTAGCTACAGCGTCGCTGCGTAATAACACAATGCTTTGTCATCTAATTCAATAATCAACACTCCACTGTGTCTTAAAAGCATAACATTCCAAGTTTATTTTTTCATCATTTCTTATTTTGACATTATAGGAGTACAGACTGATAAAACATAAGAGCATAAAGTGCGTACAATATGGCACTTGAAACACTGATTACAGTGCACCAAAAAGTAGTGAAAGCACTGAGAATGTCACATCTCTGACACAATTACTCAATTCTACCACTCCAGTACAAAAGCAGCCACAGACAATACCTAAGCAACTCAATATGGCTGCATTGCAATAAAACTTTACTTAATAGACACTGAACTCTGAATTCATTTAATTTCTACATCACAAAATATTCTTTTTGATTTTTTAAACCATTTTTAAAAATGCAAAAATCATTCCTAGTTCATGGGCCATTCAAACAGCATGCTGGGTTTGGCCCATGGACTCAGTTTGCTAATTATTATCTATAGTTTCTACATTTATAATCTCATGTGGGAAGGAAATTAAACCTAAGAGAAGAAATCAATGAAATAAAAACAGAAAAACAACAGAAGACACTAATATGATTAAAAGTAAGTTTTTCAGGGGCTAGGGATGTGGTTCAAGCAGTAGGGCGCTCGGCTAGCAGGCGTGTGGCCCGGGTTCAATCCTTAGCACCACATACAAAGATGTTGTGTCCGCCAATAACTAAAAAAAATAAATAAATATTTAAAATTCTCTCTCTCTCTCTCWCACACTCTCTCTTTAAAAAAAAAAAAAAGTAAGTTTTTCAGAAAGATCAGTAAAATGAAAAGCCTCTAGTAAGGCTGGCCAGGAAATAGGGAAAAAAAAAAAACACTACCAATATCAGATGAAAGAAGGTTATCACTATAATTAGAGATACTAAAAAGCAAAAGATAGCTTAATGAAACACAAATTCTTTGATAGTCAAAACATACCAACATACCAAAACTTACTTGAAAGGAGTTAACTTATATAAATCTACTTGTCCTATATCAATGAATAAATTGAATTTATAATTTAATTCCTCCTCCCCCAAAAGATATTCCAGATCCAAATAGCTCTACTAGTGAATTCTACAAAGTCCTTAAGGAAAAAAATAAACAAATTATAAACAAACACTCCCAGAAAATAACACTTTTGACTCATGAGAATGTGTGGTGGATAGGTTGGAACTCAGGGACACTACACCACTCCAGCCCTTTTTATTTTTTCTTTTGAGAATTRGTTTCACTAAGTTGCCCAGGCTGGCCTCAAACTTGTGATCCTCTTGCCTCAGCCTCCAGAGTAGCTAGAACTGCGGTCATGTACCACTGCACCAGTCTTAACATATCTTCAAGCCAGCATTATCCTGACACCAAAATCAAAAACATTATAAGAAAACTGCAAACCAATATCCTCATGAACATAGACACAAAAAAATCTTTAAATTTTAATCAATCCAGTAATAYATAAAAAGGATAATGACCCAATGGGATTTATTCTAAAAATACAAGATGGTTTATATTTTAATATCAGTCAAATAATATTATGAAAACAAAC